GAATGAATTAAATAATCTAAATTACAAAATAATCATTGATTAATAAGATGAAACAATTTTTGAAATTATTGTAATTGTTACATTTTTTGTTTAGTAATGTAATATAGCTAGGGCTTCCAATACCCGTTTTTACCTAAATTACCGGATGTCCTATATTTAGGGTATATTTACGGATTATAGATTGAAAAGAGTGTTCCAAAATAAATATTTTCCGTGCTAGAACTTCTAATATAACAGAAAGCATAGGTATACTAGAATAAATATGAGATAAGTTGAGTGTGAAGCATCGATTGATTGAATGCTGAAAGACCACCCAGTTCCTAAATCTAAACCAATAGTTGCATAAATATGTGTGCAGTTGGCACATCGGAACGGATCCAAGGAAACTTGGCATCTGGCACAAACGTGTCCCCACGAAATGTCACGTCGTATCCAATGTACATCAAGTTATACATCAATAAACAAATTGCCGAACCAAAAAGAATGCATAATTGCCATACGATAGATATATTATACGACAGACAATGACCAAACCGAATCGAACCGTACAACAGGGGCAACAGGTTAAAAGCCGCACGTACGGATTCCCGGAAAGAAGCCGCATACGAAACTAATAAACACGAAGCAAACAATGATGGTGCATGTGCAAGTAAAGTGCCCGTGGATGGATGCAGTGGCGTGCATTGAATGCACAATGGGAGTCATTGAACCCCGTGGAAGATATATAGAGGAGCCGGGACAATAGGCCTAAGACTTCTTAATCGGAAAACTGGAGGGCAGGTATTAGTATTAGCCGGTGCTGATCGAAATCCCGACAGTATCAAAATCCCGACAAAATGTGTATTTTAGATTAATTCTTATTGTTAAGGTTTATTATGAATAAGTCTATATCAATTAATAGAAGATATTGTCGAGATTTTGATACTGTCAGAATTATGGTTGATACTGTCGGGATTTCGAATGTCTGCGTCTGACATCTGGTTTCAATCATGCTTTAATGTCTTTTTTTTTTTTATATTGTTAATAATTATAGTTCTTAATATATCAGATAAGGTTTTAGGTGTTCTATAAAAGTTAATAATTGAAAATATAGAAACACAACATTTGGTGTTTATGTATTTAAAATTTCAATATAGGTAAACTATAAAAGTATATACTTGAGTTTCAAGTTACTATCTTGAGTGTTATACAGTCAACACTTGAATAACATGATTATTTGGTGTAATATATTATGAATAAGTCTATATCAAATAATAGAAGATACTATCGAGATTTTGATACTGTCATAATTATGGTTCATACTGTCGGGATTTCGAATGTCAGGAATTTGATTGTCTGGATTTTGGTGGTCGGGATTTGGATAGTGTCGGTAATATGGTTGTATGGAATTTGATTGTCGGGATTTCGGTTGTCGGGATGTAGAATGTCCAATAGAACGCATAGCATCGCACGAGTATAATAACGATCTGACTGCGCATTCGGAATTAGTCTAGACTGTGTGCACTGTGAAGGGTGGTAAAAGATGATAGGAAAAATAGCGGAAACAAACGAAATAAAACGTCGTCCGCGGCGACGGTCCCTGAACCGGAAGCGACACGTCCCACGTGATGAATGGACGAAACTCTGGTCTATTTTTACTCACCTTACCAATAATAACAGAAATTACAAGTATTTTTAGACTAGACGCAGACACCGCAATCGCATCATTTGGTACACAACACAGGCGTATCATTGATATATCATATTCATCAATTAATTATATTTAATGATCGTACCACGTGTTAATCAAATGCAATGAAAACTGAAAGTAATTTTATATTTAACTTTAGTTAATTAATTCATCACTTTACTTAATTATCATCAAACCATTAGATTTATCCATTTACTAATAATGATTATGATTTATTGGGTAAATTTGATACATAAAAGAACGTAAAATGCATCGAAAAACAATAAATATTATAACAATTCTATCATCTTTAATCATATCGGATTTTCCACCCATTCATTTAATTATTTATCACATCAAACCTTTATAAAGTGTACACAATTTGATTGATACTTCATATTAATTAATTAATTAATTACTTAAATTTAACGCAGTTCGATTGAAATTGATTCCAAACTTACTTTAGTTAAAATACATCGAATAATTCACTAATTTAATTATAATAAAGAAAATCTTATTTCAATATTTTTTGTAATAATTAACAAACATTTATTTTTTTAATTATTTCATTGATTAATTGTTAGAATATAATGAATATGATTACGTTTTGATGACTTTCAGTACAAAAAAAATCAATCAAATACAATTATATTGTATTAGATTTATGACAATACTTACTTATCTTTTTATAATTCTTTAATATTCTGTAGTACGTAAATTTTATATTAATTTTGTATTAATATTCATCAAACTAATTACAGAAATTTAATGTAATTGCCATGAAAAATAAAATTGAATGCAATTAGTTAAAGTTTATTTTTTACTGAAAATACATAAATTACATAAACATTTATTAATTAAAATAATTAATTATTATTTAAAAATACTATTGTTGTAATATTAACACGTGCTAATAAGTAATGTAATTAACTTCCATTTAAAATTTGAGTGTATTAATTTTCATTATATAACGAAATGAACGCTAATAAACTGCAATGAATAAAATAAATCCAACTCGACTCGACGACATTTATTAAATGTAATTAAATATTTATTATTATTCATTTTATTTGAAATACTATTTGCCTCATAAAATTCTGTTCATAATTAACGCACCTTTATTTCTTTACTGCAAGTTGTAATGTGTACAGAATTATAAATGCGTAAGCAATTTATGGACATTTTACGACCTTTTTGTAACAGGTACTAAGTGACGATTTTTAAGTAACGTTTTGCAAAAGTCCATAGTTTGTTCTATGGACTTCTATCAAATAATAATAATATTCATTTTCATGGAAGGAGAAAATGCATATTATTATTATTTGATCCTTGATACTTGACACTAAATATTTTACTTACAGTTGTTATTTCATCAATTAAGAAATAAATTAAAAAATGTATATTTCATGATGAAAAACAATAGCAGATAACGATGTAAAATAATTTTAAATGTAGCAATACCCTGCATAGTGCGGCCGTGATTAGTCCGGTTTTAAAGTTCTCCATTAGTCCGGTTTCAAACAGGAGGAACCGATTAACTGGACTATGTGACGTATTGTTTTATTTGATTAAATTGGTATATTTCATCAAAGAATACTAAAAAAATGAATCAAATAATTCTAAATGCAGCAACACCTCGTATAGTGCGGACGCGATTAGTCCGGATTTACTATAGTAAACTTGACTTTTTTTTAAATAAAAATACTCTATTTAAATAATTGTTACAAACAATTATTATTTGTCTCTTTCAATTCTGTTTGTATGCAGTTTTAAAGTTCTTGATTAGTCCGATTTCATACAGGAGTATCCGATTAATCGGACTATGCGAGGTATTGTTGTATTTGATTAACTTGGTATATTTCATCAAAGAATAGTTGAAAATGAAACAAATAATTCTAAATGCAGCAACTCTTCACATAGTGCGGACGCGATTAGTCCGGATTTACTATAGAAAACTTGAATTATATTAATAAAAATACACTATTTAAATAATTAGTACACACAATTATTATTTGTTTATACAGTCAAGTCTCTTGTTGTTCTGTTTGTATGCAATTTTAAAGTTCTCGATTAGTCCGATTTCATACAGGAGGAACCTATTAACCGGACTATGCGAAGTATTGTTGTATTTGATTAAATTGGTATATTTCATCAAAGAAGAGTAGAAAATGAATTAAATGCAGCAATATAGTGCGGCCGCGATTTGTCCGGATTTACTATAGTAAAGTTGACAACAAATTATAAAAAAAAACTATTTAAATAATTAGTACATAAAATTATTATTTTTTATACTGTCAAGTCTCTTTTTGTTCTGTTTATTTTTTATCCTGTTTTAAAGTTCTCGATTAGTCCGGTTTCAAACACGAGGAACCGATTACCCGGACTGTGCGAGGTATTGTTGTATTTGATTAACTTGGTTCTATAACTTGACACTTATTGCTATTTCAATGAACTTGTCTCTCTTTGGTCTTAATTAGTTCAACAAGTCGATATATCATCTTACTGCTATACATTTTTACGCGTTTTGAAGTTTATAATTAGACTTGCACATGGTGCATGATCATTCATTCCACTCATTTAAGAACTTTTTGCAAAATTATTCTTAAATCATTATTTTAATTGTTTACATAATTTATATAATGTAATTTCTATAAAAAAATATGTAGTTATGTTGATCAAATCTTTTTATATCTGAAATTGAATTTATTTATCATATTGTTTACTAATAACTAAGAATTTAATAGTTTTAACCTACATTTGTTTATTAGCGATATAAAACATAGAACATGTTCATATTTTATGAAGTGATTGTAATAAGAATAAAATTCAAAGAAAAATTGAATTAAATTATTGTTTATAGAATAATAAAAGCAGTAGTAAAATAAAATTTATGCACAGTCACCATAATATAAACATTTTCTTATAACAAAATATTGAGCTTTAGCGAACAAACTATATTTTTTTACGATCTTATTTTTGGACACCCTAAACACGACTAAAAGCTTTTCATTTATATAGAAAATATTACAAAGTATGTTTTTATTACTTGAAATTATTAAAATGAATGAACGAACACTAATTATTTATTTATTAAAAAATGGCGTCTTTATTTTGAACATTAAAAATCTCAATACCTCGCATAGTGCGGGTAACAAAATCCTCCAATATTCCTGACTGTTAAAAACCGGACTAATTGAGGAACATAAAAGTTAAACGCACAAAATGAGATAAAAATATATACTTATTCAACAAATTGTCGTTATATATTAATTCTACCGGAAATTATGACTGAACTGAAAATGAAAACTGTAATTATTTCTTTGTGTTTCAGGAGCAGAAAATCGCCTTGATACGCCCTTTTGGATACGTGCGTCTCGCATCGGTGCTTACCCAACTCCTCAAGGTCAGTATCATTATAGTACGCACAACCATTTATCGCATATGGTAAATACGGATAATCAAATTAGGAGTAACAATAAAATCAGTAAAGAAACAATAGGTTTAAAAATAGGTGTAATTTGCCAATAATCTAGCCCAACCTCGTTTACATACGTTTTTCTTATTGGTACAAATTGGAAATAAATCAAACAATGTAATGATACATTCATTATTAATTCAATTTAAATTGAGTTATTTTGAGCAACAATTTTATTAATTTATTTAAAATATAATTATATATTTTAATTGAGAAAACACAATTCTAAATATTTGAAGCCAAATCCTCGATATATTTGCGGAATCTATTACATAAACTATGCGAAGTATTGCTGTATATGGAAATGGTCAATAAATAAATCAGTAATTTGAAATAAAAAAATATTGCGCATAATATTTCATTGCAATGGAATGAAATAAAGTACAAAACTATGAAATGTTTTGTATGCAATTATCATTAACGATGATCTATTACTCGAAGGTATTCGCGTAATAACATCTTTAATGCAATCTTAATTGGCCGAACACAGTCTTACCTTGCAAATTGGCAATTTTCCTTCTTTTTTCTTCTTCGTTCTGTTCACAGAAAATTTAAAAAAAAATGTTCGCAATTGGTTCTTGAGAAAACGGATATAACATGTAATGCATTCCGGGCATTCAGTCATTAAATATAAATAAGTGGACTCTTTGCGGTTACTATTTTTTTTTTTTCTGTTTTCTTTATCGTAAAACGTATGCGCTTTATTTGTTTAAGTTTATGAGCACTTTTGTGTATGCACAACGAAACTATTCCACTAGTGAAAGCGACAAATTGTGTTTTTTTTTTTCGTGTTTTGGTTAGAAATCACATATAATTATTTTATAAAAAGTATAATATATTTTAATTAAACTTTGAATTAAATTAAACAATCGAAAATTTAATTCAATTTAAAAATTTAATTATTATGCAATTATTTTTTTCATTAAAAAATTAATTAAATAATATATTTTTTTCGTAAAATTGACAAGTTGTTTTCTATACAGTAAATGTTTGCTTCAACGAATTCAAGTTATTTATCGAAACGTTAAATTTGTAAAATGAAAAATAATTTCAGCAAAATTTTCAGTGTTTTCATATTTTTCCTGCAATTATTCTGATTTATAATCTATACTCATGTGATGATTAATGTTTATATAGAAATATTATAAATTACATATTACTAATATCGTGAAAATACTTTTAATATAGAAATACATGAGAATACTTAGAAAGAAAAAAATAAACTTCTAAAACTAATTTTATTGATTTCGTATAAGACTTGCAATTATTCATATGTTTTTAATTTAATTTTTTTTTTTGTTTCTTTATCATATTTTCATTTAAAGCTTGGCTCAAACTCATACTTACTTTGATTTTAGTATTTATTTTGAAGAAGACTGAATATTTTATTTTAGAAATGTAGGAATTCCAATGAGTTTTCAAAAACTACCATATCTTCTACGAAATGTGTATTGAGTAAACTTGCAAAATATCTACTCATATTTATCATTTACCATGTTCAACATCTACTAGAAAATTCTTTATAGAAAGTCATTTCATAATTTTATAAAAAAAAAATCGAAGATTGCCAAACATGAAACTTTCAATTTCGAATTAATTAAATATAAATTAGTTTTTTGTCGATTGAATTCAACACTTGAATTTTGATCATGAAAATCATTAATCATGGAATTTTTTTTTTCATCAAGAATATTCTGGATTTTATTATGTTTGTTTTAATGAACTAATAGAATTTTAATGTTTTTTTTTGTTCAATTTTAAATTGAACATGATTTTGTTGCACATTGCCAGGACAATAATTTCATTTTTTTTTATATAAATATTTTCGATTTAATTTTGTTGTTTTAACGAACTAATAAATTTTTAATGTTTTTTTTGTATTCAATTTTAATTCAATTTAAATCTGTTATAAAGAATCAATCATTCATAGATTATTACGAAATTACACAAAGTATAAATGACAAAACGACTTATATCTTATAGAGAAAAATGATATTTCCTACTTATATAACTTAGTTTGCATTGACCAAGAAAATATAAATTTTAAAATAAAATTGATTATATTTCATGATTCCGTCTATTTTCATATTCGTTTCTACTTCTTTCAAACATGTATAAAATATCCTGAAATTTTACGGTAGCAAATGACACATTTTAGTAGCGCCATCTAATGGTTTGTTCTACAAACTATCCTGGTATTACTTTTGTTTTGTTTTAGATATAAAGCAAATTTAAAGTCCATGAGTAATATATAACTTTGTCGATTGCGTGTTGCCAGTTTAATTGCTGTTGGGTATTTAAATCCTCGAGGTATTTAAATAATGGTCGGTGTAAATTGTCAATGGCGGTGTTCGATTTCGAAACAACTCATTTGGGATTCGTCTCGAAACTTCGGATGCAATTCAATTTAGTGAGCGAGCGAGCGTCTGAGTCTATGCGATATAGTATTTAGTAGGGAACGCTCTATTTCTGTCCATCGAGGAATGCCGGCTGTCGCCGCCGTCTCAATATTCATCCGCAGACACCACCGGTATCCATCCATCTATCCACTATCACCTAGAAAAGAATGAATCTGCTTCCAAATTTACATTACCTAACAACATCCTTGAGCTTCCTCCAAGCGTAAGCTAAGTTGCGTAAGGAGGACCCACCTCGGTCGGGTGCGGTCATCTCGATAAATTGATCATCTCTGCGATGATGTCACTATTTTAATGACAATAATAATAATGGTCGCGCCTTGAGAAGATGACGATGATTATGCAGCAGCTTTGGCGGCCAACTAGGTGGGTTATTTTCTGCTGATGATCATCTGAACTGATGATGATGGCGTTGCGCTCAAGATGAGAGAGAGACACGGTTTACGGCGTGCCTGAATTTACGCGAGTCAACGTCCAATGGCTTCGCTCTCTACACAATTTCAAAATGGAATAAGCTTTATTTTTAAATCATATTATTAGACGCATATTATTATTTGTTACTGTTTTTTTTTGTAATTTTTCACGTTTTATTGCAAAATTATTATATCCATTCCAAATGTTATAATTTTTCATTAGAATCAAAGAAAACAAAATTAACATTTCCATCAACTTTATATTTGATATCCAAAAGTAATGTATGACAAATATGATTATTACACATTTACGCAGTCATACGCATTATGCATTACGCATTAAAGAAAAACTTTTCGAAATTAATTCGTTCTCAGTAAAGAAAGTGAAAAGTTTTTCGAACAAAGAAAAGTTGTATTAAACAAACAAATTTTTTGACAGACAAAGTTTGAAACATCAAAGTTGATTGACACTATTTTGGATACAACAACAATTTGTTGGAAGATGATTTTAATGAGTGTTTCTCTCAATCTATAGGTCGCATTCAATTTTTAATGGGTCGCAAATGACAGCTGTCACCTCTTGTCAAAGTGGGAAACTTGTGAAGTATAGTGACTGTACAACAAATTGTTGGATAGTTCGGCAAAAAGATTAAGAAACACGGATTTAAATTGTTTTGCATTGAACTGTAGAAGTATATTTGAAATAAAGCCTGCAAATGAAGTATCGAGTTATTCGTTTAAATTAAGGGTTATAGCGCTTATTATCAATCAATAAAACAAATAAACCTTTTATTTTAACTAATTTTAAACTATTATAAATTATATTTGAGTTAAATTAAATAGGCCGTACCCAGAGACACTGCAATACTGGGACAACCAATGATAAGGACAGAGCAAGCTCTAATTCCTCATCGAATTCCAAAAATCAGAATAAAAATATGAACCCACAATGTGGGCCGATCAATTTTTATACTGATCAGAACAGATACTACACTTTGATCATAGCTCATAAAGCCACGAAGCGATAAGTTAAAAACGCTTATTTCTAACCAATTGTTGCAGATTAATCTTCAAGTGTGCTATACAGAGCTATTACAAGCGCCATCTGTCGTAACTACCCCTTTGATTATATAATATCTGCAAGCAATTGTCATTGAGAACGTACCAAGTTTGCTTCGGAAGAACGAAAGCCGTATACTTGATCGTCGTACCTTTAGTATGAATATTAATATAATATGTATCATAAGTATGATCACATTCTGAGACATCGATTAATCGTAATTAGGTCTGTTTCACGTCTCTTTATAATTTAAATAGTGATATAAATGTGCCGGTACTTATAAGTAAAAAGGTTTTGTAAATTTTTCACTGAAAAACCATCATCTTCTAAATTCTTCTTTTTCTAGGACGTTTGTCCATATTTTGCTTGAAATTACGAACTTCGTTATATCGAAGCTTCGTTAACCGAGGTACAACTATACTAGAAAATCCATTGATTACATTATGTATTTCTAAAAATTGATTTTAGTTTTTTTTTTTGTATTTTAACGTTACTATACTATTTTCACATTCTAGTACTCTTTTATTGCAATACAAAAATTATATTTTCAAAAACGTTATATTTTAATTCCAAGCGTGATATAACAATAATCAATTTAATTGAAAATCTGCCGCACACGATGATTAATTTACATTACATTTAACATGTAATAATTGATTACGAAATCGTGAGTAAACACTTTAAGTGTATCAATATTTTAAGCCGGAAATCGTCGGGCATCTCCGCAGATGCAGATGACGTCTGCTGTGCAGGTTCAATAGCATGCAATTATTCCTGGAAACGAATGCACCGAATCACCTCTCGCAATGATGCAATCATTACGATCATTAAAGTGCATTTTAGTCATAACATCGTATCTTTTTTTTTATTAATAAACAAACTGTCTTAAGTTGTATAATTTTGTTATGTTTCTTAATTATTTAATACATATAATTTAATTATTTATTTATGCAATTAAGAAAAAGTAAAAAATATTCCATTCCTATTAAGTTTTGTCATAAAATCACACCTGCTTTTTTTTTATTACCAAACTGTTTTAAGTTGTATAATTGTGCTACATTTTTATTGATTTAATACAAGTAATTTAATTATTTATCTACAATATTAAATTCAATTCAATGACAAATTGAAATTAATAAAAAAGTATAAAATATTCCATTCA